AATGGTGGTAAGCTCATCTCTTTGTGATCAATATTGACGGAGTTATTACTTAAAAACCATTTAATATTTTTTAATTTCGGAAATTGATCTAGTGATTGGATTTCGATGTATTTTATACCATTAGATTCGTCGCATCAAGACGAATCGAATGGTAGTAAGATCGTCTCTCTAGGATCAATATTGGCAGAGTTATTACACAAAAACCATTAATATTTTTTTAATTTCGGAAATTAATCTAGTGATTGGATTTCGATGTATTTTATACCATTAGAACCGTCTCATCAAGACGAATCGAATGGCGGTAAGATCATCTCTCTACGATTAATATTGGCGGAGTTACGATACAATAAAGTTTTGAGTATAATTTTGGCTAAAATTATGTTAATTTTTGGCCGGAATTATGATATACTAATATAAGAAATTTTTTATATAGTCACATCTCTTTATAATCACCAAATATGGACTGTCCCAAATGTGTGACTATAAAGAGAGTTGACTGTAGATATTTTATGAAAATAATAACATATATAGCAAAATTTAATTATTATAATGTTATAATAGAATTTTTACAAAAAGATAATTCTTAATATATAAAATTTCTTATTAATTTAGCTAAATTCTATAATTTATATATGAACTTTTATCTGAAGTATATTAATAGAATAAAAGAAAATTTTTATAAAAGAATGATCAATTTGTCTTTTTCTTTTTTACTTTTCAAGAAAACTTATAAAAGTATAATATAATAAATTTTATAATTTACTAGGCTAAAATTATAGAGCAATTTCACTAAAATTGCTTACTTTACATATGGCATATTTGTTAAACTAACATAATTATCTGATAGTGTACATAGATTCTTATATAAAATAAAAAAGTTTATAAATCAATAATATTAAAGTAACTTTAAATTATTATTATTTTTGTATATTTTTTATTTTTTACTTTAATAAATATGCTGTGGTTAAAAAAAACTAATATAGTATAGGTTAGTGCAAAAAGATTTGTATTTCAACAAAATGTCAATAAAAAATTTTTCATTATATAAATGTTTATTTATTTAATTTGAATTGATATATATTTGGAAAATATAAAAATATAAGTGTAAGACTAAATTGTGTATTATCAATAAAATTACTATACCACTAAATTTTTATTGATTAATTGTACATTTTTTTATATTATATTTAAAGTATTCTTTAATATATTTAAGTGCCGTTATCTAAAATTTAATTAAACTTATGGAATTTTTTTTTTTAAACAAATTTAATAATATATCATAAATGGATAAAGATTTTGAATGAGAATTTAAACTTACAATTTTATACTTTATAACTATTTAAAAACCTTCAATTAGTTAAAGTTTGTGGTAATAAGTAGAGATAAAATTTTTTTTGATAATTATAGTATTTTGCTATTTTAGAATAAGAAAATAAATGCTTTTTCTTTGTTTATTTAAATTATATACTTTTCGTCAAAATGACAAAATACTAATTAAATTTATTTTAACAGACGTAATATATTTTGACAGATGTAATTAATTCATAGTAATTTTATAATAAATAGTAAATTGGTCTGTTTGCCGAAATATGATGTAATTAATTAGCGGAAAAGTATATTAATTGCCAATCTGCCTAAAAACGGCACTGCGTTACTAATAAAATTCGGGGATAATAGCGATAATAAAAAAAAGAATTTTTTGCATCTTGCGCGCGAAATAAGTTTCACCCATTTTACAAACAGAAATATCATAAAAACAATATTTTCTTTCATTTTATGACAAGTCATATTGCCAAAAAATTTTATAATTATATTTCTGTAACTGGTTTTCTTCAACTTTCACTTGTTTTTAATAATAAAAATATTTTAAAAAAGCTTTTAAAAACAACTTTAGAAGCTAAAAATTATAGGTTTTTATTGTAAATAATGCAATATAGTAAAATGAAATATTGAAATTTCATATATTTTAAGGTGTAAATCTGACACGCATGCATAGTAAACTCATTATTTTGCATACAAATGTATAACTTTTTTTTGCAAATTCATTTTTTTTAAGTATTTTTTCAGTATATCATATGATTTTTTTTTATAGTCAATATGTCATCTATGAGATATCCTTTTTTGAAGTTTATGTTCTAGCTCAAAATTGGCAAATTTAACCCCGAATTTTATTAGTAACGCAGTATCAATTTTAGGCAGATCGGCAATTAAATTAATTTTAAAAATTCTGATATTTTCCATTTATTAAAAGGCAATATTGTAAATTATTAGGCAGTTTATTATTTATTTACATTTTATATATAAAGTTGTAGCATAAATATACTGCTGCTATATCTTATTTTAATTTGATATCATAATTTTAATTGTACTTTTAGTAATTCTCAATGCTTCAGCAGTTTGCTTACGTAATATGAACATCAGATGGCTTATTCTCATAAAATTAATTTAAAAAGTGTAATTGCAATCATTAATTACCATATTTTTCCAATATTAAGCACCCCTTTTTTGCAGGGATTTTGTGCGAAAAGTTTAGGGAGGTGCTTAATTTCGACAGTTTAGAAAAATGCCTTTTAAACGTCTTTAAATTAATTTAAAATTCGTTTAAAAAAATTTTGCAAAAAAAAAAGTTTCAGTAGTTAAATTTTTTTATTTGTAAATATATTTTTCAATAATAATGTAATTTTGTAATTTTTGTTTTTTTCGATAATACAGTCAACTCCCTCTATAGTCACTCCCATTATAGTCACATTCTACTATATAGTCACACCAGTTGAATGTTCAAAACACTTTATTATTAAAAACTATCCTATATAGTCACAATCTATCTATAGTCACTATCACAC